TCACACTCAGTGGCAGACTCACACTCCCTCTGGGTCTTCCGTGGTCCAGGCAGTTCTCGGGGGATGCCGCTGAAGGCTGGACCTGGACAGGAGAATTTTCTGCTGGAATGAGAGATGCTTCATGCATGAGAGTCTTGCCCTGGTGAGTAGAGCACCCCTGTCGAGATCACTGATCCCTTCCACCCATTTCAAAAAATGACTCCAACAGTAATCACATGAAGGTGTTCACAAAAGGAAGAAAAGCAGCCTCAAGAGAGACGGCTGAAAAAGAAGTGACCATAATGAAAAACATGCTGAGAATGTGTTAGACAGTGGATGTAACAATCTTCTTTTTAACCATCTAGTTATGGGGGAAGAATCATCTTAAAGATGAGCTGAGGGGCTCCCACTTCTTACCAAAACCATTTTGATGAAGTATTTGTGGTGTCATCTCCTGCTGCATGGCAGCTTCCTACCGAGGTTTTCTATGCAAAGCCTAACCTGCCCAAAAGCAGAGAGCTCATCTAACTGAAATTTCTCCACTCCATTTGCTTCACATCTGTAAATGTACTCGAAGAGCTTCAACCACGTTTCTAACTATTTCAAAGAATTAATCCTGCCACACTAACTGCCCAAGATAGGAAACACAGAGCATTCCTACTACCTAAAACAAGTGAAATACAAAATGGTCAGTTATTTTCAACTTTAAATGCAAAAAAAGCCCATTCAAACAACTATGTTAAAATAATGTTACGCTAAAAGAATTAAAACATTATAAAATTAAGATTTTTCACATAACCCTAGCACTTTCACCATGAGAAGGCGCATTATAAACAGCCCTTTTTACTCAGGGACTTGCTGATTTTCTGCATATTTAAACACAGATGTGGGTGCTTAGCAACTGTAAAACAAAGTCATTTACTTAAATAACAGTATAGGTTAAGGTACTTCATTTAATACTTACTTTTAAAATATTGTATGTGTCTTATAACGCCTACAGAGACAGAATCCTCAAGTACGGATGCAAAAAATAAGCCACTTGGTTTTAAGCCAGAAACAGAGATTTATGTTTGCTGTGTACATCTCTAGGATGGAGGAGACACAATTGTGCTTTATGTACAAGTTACCTACATCTACAATGAGTCATTACAGAAAAAAAAGGGAAATATAAATGATTAAAATTTAATCAATTTAATTAATATGCATTTATACGATATAAAGTTCTGGCTCTTTCAAAATTCCAAATTTTTATGAAGTATGAACACTCTTTTGTTAGAAATGTTCATATTTTAAACTTGAGGAAAACAGGAGAACAATGAAAGGTCCAACATTTCAGGTAGCAAATACACTGCAGTATTTCACTGGCATTTCTAAACATAAAACATGGACTTTTCTTTTTCAAGTTATACAAAACACCACCTTTATAAAAGCTTTGCTGCCTGAGTTTATCAACAGTATACAAATAATGTTTTCCTACACAATGTGTTACTTTGCCTCAGCCACTTGCAAGCAGTTTAGAGTTTTTGAGGAGAAATAATACATGTTATTACATCAACTCATCTAGTTGCAATAAACAGATTTCTTACCTATTTGTTTTCTGTATTGGTCAACAGGAGTCCTTGCTGTAGAGGCATCTTTTCTACCCATTGTTTTCAAGCCAAAAATCACTATCAATAATACAAAAAAAGAGAAAAGCATTATTCCTAGATAAGTTACCTAAAGAAAACAAGGTACAACACAAAAATCTGTAACAAGCCATACTTACAAGATTATGCACAAAGACATAAGCCTACCCAGAATACAATGATGTACTAATCATCACTATCATAAAGACTATTAGATAAATTCTAAAAGTAACCTTTTTTTCCCCATTACACCATTTATTACTATTACAGAATGGCTGTTAGTTTGAATTAAGAAAAAAATGAATTTAAACTGATTGCTCTGTAACACAGTACTTGATGCGATGGAATTCTTTTCCTTAGTAAACCATAGCATGAATGGAGTGTTGTGGAGCCTCTTCTGCTGTTGGCAAACCCTTCCCCACGAGGGCCAGAAGCCTGAGCGTGCGTGTGCTGCAACCAGGCCTGCTCCAGAGAGCCCTCTGGGCACCTCTCCTCCATCAGCAGGGCATCCCCTCCTCTCCTGCTCTCTCACCCAGACCCTGGAGATCACAGAATCATAGAATCATTATGGTTGGAAAAGACCTCCAACATCATGAAGTCCAACTGTAAACCTGTCACCACCGGCATTGCTAAACTGTGTCCCAAAGTGCCTCAGCTACACGTTTCTTGAACACTGCCAATGTTCAAGTCTGCAAATGAAGATCTGCAAGATCTGCAAATGAAGAGACAATGGAGAAAGAAGGTGAGAGCTGTGGCTCCACCACCTCTTCTTACGCTCTTTGGAGCAGATACAGCTGGAGCACATACAGTGAGCTTCACTGGGCACCCCTGTTTGGGAAGCTCAGCCCTTGGGCACTGTGGTGCTCAAGCATGTCCCAAAAATTACCCAGATCTCTGTGCCATGGGCTGCTGTCAACGTTATAACCTGAACCACCTGGGATTAGCTCCTTCGTAACTTCAGCTGAGGTCCAAAGCACCGCTGCAGGAATGACGCCGTCAGTGACTCATGCATATAAAGGGAAAAATGTATCTTTCTTTGTATTTACCTGTAAGAATTACCAAAATGTAAATGTCAAGTGAAAAAACAGGACAACGGAATCGAGCTCTTAAATCAGATGCTCACTTTCAGTGTGTGTCACAGGACTTAAAATGAACTTAGGAGTCTACAAATCGACAAAAAAGTATTCAAGAGGAATAGCAAGGCATAAGACTATAAGACTAATACTGTTTACAATTTTAACTGAAACCTCAGCTACAAAATTATAATGCTTCCATGCTTTATTTTGGTTTTATTCAAAGAATACTTTTTTTTTTCTTTTTTCTTTTTTTTATCTAGAACACATATGTGGTAAACTGTAATCCACTGGGATTTTTCCTGCTATTCTGGTGACTGAATGGTATTTCTCACATAATGTTCACATCACAGTAGCAATGTTGGAAAACAAAAATAAAATTTCAACTTGCAGCTAGTTGAAGGGAAAACATACATTTTACACCGCAAAACTAGTTCTTGGCTTATTTTATGCCACTGTTAGCAACTGTTTTGACTTGCCTTTTGCAATTTCACTAGCCTACCAGTGTTTGGTAACAAAATGTCAGCTGTGAAGGATGTTTGCAGGAGTGCTAGTAAAACACAGGGAGACAATTATTCCCCACTATTTAAAAATGAGGTTGGCTGAGTGAATGGGAGCCCTGGGACTGCGGCTGTTGGCCGGGGGAGTGCAGGGTCCCTCTCTCTGGCACCTAGAACCCGAAAACGCTGCTGCTGCTCTTTGTTCTGCAGAAATCCCTGCTCCTTTCTGATTTTTGATGGCTGGATAGCGAACTCCCGAGAAACCCGTGGAGACATTAGCACATACAGCCGCGGTGCCTAATAAGACAGCTATTTGCATAAAAGATCAGCCACAATTTAAAATGTGTTGTGATAGATGTGGAAAGGGAATAACAGATCTATATTAGCATGTAGGAAACCAAGATTGTTTTCACAATTTAATTCCCCGGGGACGGTGGCTCATCACCTTCTCTTGTAAAGAATCCTCTGTTCCCCGAGGAGGTAACTTGCGATGAGCCAGAGTTAAACTAAAATATGGATTAATAAGAGATAATATTTATTATTTATGAATCTCGCTGTAGGAATGGTTTCAAATGTAACTTTCCAATCCGATTTCCGTAAGGGAAAATCCTTCAGCCTTTATGAATCACGACACTGGTTGAGGAGAAAACTGCCACTTCCCTATGTAAAATATAGGTGGTCACCTGCAGTAACCATTGCTTTTTAAGGAATGGAAATCGCATTCAGTCTTTTTCAGCTCTCTGACGTCAGCAAGTGCAGGAATTAGCCTTTTCTCTGTTTCTTTAGAGCACACAAGTCATCTGCAGCACAACGTGTTACGTGCACTCCGGGTGGCCTTCAGGTCCCTGCAATATAACCACGAAAAAGCACGTAAAGGAGCTCTGCTCTTTTTACATGCTATTAAAAATACTTTAAGAGTAATTTCAGGTCATTTGAAGTCAACCTGAGCTCTCCTCGCCTTTCAACTTTTTATAAAATACAACTTTAAGAAAATGAAGCAAGACGCCCTTGCATTTTTTTTTTTGCCTTTTTATTGCTATTTTTCAGAGATACTACAAGGTCAAAGGATTTCTTCATTTCTGTGGTTCCTTTAATTGTTTTTTTACCCTCTTTCTCTTCCCCTCTAGAATTCACCCTTGAAGGTTTACATCCCCAGAAGAATACATGATATATTTTTCCTTCCTCCTGTTTTATTCTGAAGCACTGACTGATAATAATTAATACACATGATAAATCGCCTATTATCACCTCCTACTGTTAATAGCATTTTTTGAGCTATAAACCATGTTTGAAGGTCTACTCAAGATCTGATCATAACAGTGTTTGTTTTAAATCCCAACTGACTCTTCTTGAAATATATACTGCTTGAAACAATCACAAAATGTTTAAAGCAATTCTTTAAATTAAGTAAAAACATACTGTTAATAATTACAAAAAACATGTTGGAAATAAGCACGAGCACCAAATAGCATAAAGAATGCACGTTGTACATTTATGGCACAATATAAATTATTGATAATAATAATGAAGTCTAAAGTGTGCAGCACTGAACACAGGAACATCTAAACACGTGCCCATGTGCACACGTTCATAGCAGTGATGATATCTGACAGTCTCCAATGCTTTTATTCTTCAACAGCAAGCTGCCTGAATATTAAAACAGGGCATCTTAGAGTGATAAAAGTAATCAATTAAATTATTTTTGCAGCTGAAATGTGGCTAGTCAGCTGGGAGAAAGGAAATTAAGATTTTGTGATAGAAAAAAAACACCATGGAGTGTAAAACTACTAGGTCAAATCTTCTACCATAATTGAAAAAGTTCATAAAGGAGGATGAATGTATATATGTGTATACGTACACATACCTTTTGTTTAGAAATACTGCAAACACTTAAAAAACCCTCTTTTTCTTGTGGTTACAATGCAGGTTAATAATTTCAACCCATAATCCAATTAATTTTGAATCTCATTCAAAGGCTACTGATGTCAATGAAAGAATGGGTCTTTACCAGTCAATCTCATTAGTTTAATAAATAATGGACGTTAATATAATGTTTAATATAATTAATTACTATTAATAATAAATGATTGATAATTAATAACATTACAGGGACAAAAATAGCCTTTTATCTCCTATGGTAAAATCCAAGGAACATATCAGATTGTCTGTGAACACCAAATTATTCCATTTAAAGTGGAAAATATTATTCTTGATTGTGTGGATTGGCTTTTTTTGTGTACTGCTGAAATTGTCAGGAAGAAGTTGAAGAAAGGCAGTGAAAGTAACCAGTAGACAAAATTGCAAGAATAACGAAGAAGAATGTATAAGCCTTTACTACTATTTTAAAAATTAAAAAATGAAAAAAACCACATTGCTTATACATTCATTGGCTGAGCTATACACATCACAATCTTAAGGTTTAAAAAAACAGCAGCCATCATCACTCCTCTGGAAATTGTTTCTCAAAGGATAAGGAATCCAAATCCAAATCACCTCTGGAAATTTTGCATTTAGGAGACTATGCTCCTTAACTTCACATAGGTACCTCAGATTAGGTGGGATCAATTAGGTCTAAATATTTCCTTTTGTGTTTCAGCAAAAGCAGTTTACTTGCTTTTGCTAGATGTAAGACATATCTGATAACACAAGATAACAGGCCAAAAAATTGTGATTAATTTTATTCATGAGAGAGAGGAAGAAAGTGAAGATTTTAAGGACTGTTAACCCTCAGTAAGATTTTTAAAAGGTTTCCTATCAAGTAAATTTTGAATTTTAAGCAAAAAAGAGGCTATTAAAGAAGTCAACTCCATTCCCAGTAAAGAACAGTCTGTCATAGTTTACACAGGCAGTAGAACTACGTTCAAGATGTACTTGGCCAAAACTCACTTATAAAAACATTACTTATACAGGAGATACCCTTACAGTAAATCATGAAGATCATGGCATTTTGAAGAAGAATATTCCTAATGTAATGACCTTATATATATTTTTCATTATTAGGATTTTTCATTTGTCGTCAGAATCAAATTCCCTACCCACTTCCAAACTGCTATACCATCTGTAAAACATATATATAATATAAGTAGGAAGACAGATCTTCATTTGAACAAACTTAAAATTATGAACTTTCAGAGATGAACGGGGATCTGACCAGAAAGGGTCCAGACCCACACTGAGCAGCCAAAGCAAGTTCACCCTCTCTAAAAGGATGAATATATACATATAGGAGTAAACGCAGTACAATGGTGCTCATAATTTGGGATAAATAAGGAGAATAAAGCCTTTGTCAGCCTCACACAACCTAAAATGAAAGCCTGCATTTCCTGGCTCTCAAGCTGAAAGCTTCTTGGGTCAAGAGGCAAAACGACAGACAGTTATTTGTTCTATCTCTGCAACCAAAGCGGCAGCAGCAAACATTTCACACTGCACTTAAATATAGGTAGTTTTATTCTCTTTGATCCTCAG